GTGCAGGGCGGCCCTCGGCGTCCTGGGGAGGTCTGTGCTGTGCCTGTTCAGGTCGCGAGGGCTCCGAGGGAGACGCTTCTCACTCACCGTGCTGTTGGGGTGTTGGGGTTTTGGGGTGGTCTTACCCCGACTGCAGTCAGGGCGAGCGGAGCCCTGTGTGGGGGCCGCGGTCCCCGACGTGAGAGTTACACTGCAGACAGCTAGGGTGAGGGGATTCCCAGGATTTGAGGACATTTCCTCAGGAGCAGGAAGACCTGGGGTCCCCATTACTCAAGCTGTTCCGGTGAGCAGGTCCTAACACAGCTGGTTAGTGAGTACTTACTAGTATTTCGCATGTTTCAACTCGTTTACTTTTTACAGTCTTGTGAAGTAAGTACTACTGCTCTCCTAATTCATGAGGAAACAGGCTCAGAGACGATGACGTGTAAACTTGTGGAATCCGAGAAGATTCACCTTTGGTGATGTTTATAGTACAAAAGCTGTGAGGACAAGGGCGAGTGACCCTCTGACCAAAGATGTAAAGACTTGATTTTCTGGTGTGAGAGGAGCCAGTGATAGGTTGCCTATGCTTGGAACTCAAGCTAGAGGAGCTCCAAAACACTGAGTGTCTCTGTCTCTCTGTGTCTCTCCAGTACTGGGAATGAGCCCAGGGTCTTCACACTGGCCTAGCCCTTTTTATTATTTTTGATTTTGAGACAGGTCCAAGTTACCCAAGATAGTTCAAATTTAGCATCCTCCTGCCTCAGCTTACCCATAGTGCTGTGATTACAGGTGTGCCCCACCAGGCTGAGCTCCTTTTATTATCTCTTAAGGAGGGTAAGAAAAAAATATGAGAAACGAAGGAAAAAACGGAAACAGTTTTTGGTAAATAGGAAAGAGTAGAAGGGAGGGAAAAGGAATGGGGAAAAAAGAAGAACTATATACAGGTTCAAATTCCCAATGATGAATGTAGTCATAATGCATACCTAAAATGTACCAGTAAACTTAATAAGAAAAGTACCTGGGCATGGTGGTACATGCCTGTAATCCCAGCACTATGGTAAATTGAGGCAAGAGGATCACCATGAGTCTGAGGCCACCCTGGGTTGCATAGTGAGTTCAGGGCTGGCCTGGACTACACATAGTGAGACCCTGTCTCAAAAAAATAAAAAGCAGGGGATTTAGTTCAGTGGCACTGCACCTGCCTCACAAGCACAGGGTCCTGAGTTCAATCCTGGTACTAAAAAAAAAAGCAGTAAGAGAGGGATGGGGATTTAGCTCAGTGGCACTGCGCCTGCCTTGTAAGTGCAAGGTCCTGAGTTTGATCCCTGGTACTGAAAAAAAAAAAAAAGCTGAACAGAACTGGTTCAACCTAAATGGGCTGAGGATTTAGCTCAGTAGTTCCGCTGCCTGCCTCGCAAGTGCACGGTTCCGACTTCAATCCCCAGTACCAAAAAGAAAAAAAAAAGCAATAAGATTTATTCAGTATAAGAAGTACATTTTTTATGAGGAAGTGTAAGGGAATTAGTTTTGTAAGATGAACTAGTGTGATTTATTTCCTGTTTGAGAGGATGATGCAGGGAATCTTTAGTATTGAAAGCTATTCCTTCCACCCATCCGAAATTATTAAAGAATTGTTTTAATATTTTGAGTTGGATTCATACTCCTTAAGCTACTTCTTCATCTTAGAGAGCAGCCTAGTTTCTAAGATTAGAGGAAATCATTTTAGAGTATGAGAAAGTTCTGTCTCATTGGTAACACAATCTGAATTCTATTTTTACGTATGAGGAGAGGAATGCAACTATATTTTAAATTGAGTGAGGGATGTAACACTTTTGGGATTCACATAAGAGGTTATTGAGAAAAGGTCCTGATCAGTCTCCTATTTTAATTGTGTTCCTAAGCAATGTTCTGACTTTCAAGAGTGTCATTTATATCTGTTAGTATGTGGCATGGAAAAAGTACAGAAATATCTTTCAGCAAGATTAACTGTAACCCATGTATTTCATACTCTCAAGTATTTTGTTCTGGCAGGCATTCCACACATGATGATGTAGTTACTGTTGAGCCTTTGTATGAAAATGGCACCTTATGTTCTCAAAGAGCTGCACTCATTTCGGAATCTACCCAGCCAATACGCCTCAGCAGTGTTATTCTTGCTCGAGAAATAGGTATGTTGAGAGCAGAGTATGTAACATTTTCAGATAGAATAATCCAATGACTTGTATAATGATTAATACAAATGCTGTTGGTTTGAAATGAGACCAAAAAATGGATTCCTGCAATATAAACCCTGATTATTATTCTAAATTTATTTTATTTCTGGTATATCTGGCACCTGGCATGGTGTCTACTAAGGAAACCAGTTGTTTGGATTAATGAAGAAAAGAGGGAATCATTCGCCTGGAACTAATTTAGGTTATAAGGTCTGAGGTTGGTGGGGTGAAGGGAAGATAGTATAAAGACTAACACTTCTCAAAAATGGTCTGTGAACGTGAATCCTCAGCACCCCTTGCATCAAATGTGACTTGTTAGAAATATAAATTCTTAGCCAGGTGTGGTGGCGCACGCCTGTAATCCCAGCACTCGGGAGGCTGAGGCAGGAGGATCACTGTTAGTTCAAGACTAGCCTGAGCTATATAGTGAGATCCAGATCAGTCTCAACTACATAGTGAAACCCTGTCTCAAAAAACAAACAAACAAGCAAAGGTAAGTAAGTATGTGACCTTTTTTTCCTAATTACTATAAATTTACTTGTAAGTAAATTCATCCAAAGTAACTTTTTTATGAACCATGCGCTTGTATTGGAAAGCTTCCTGCTAGTAGTCAGATACAGTAGGCATTATGTGGACAAGGCTTTTCGTGTTTTTTTGTGTAAGGTCATGTCTGCTTCTGTTTTGTCATTGTCTCACATATTTCTCCACTGAAAAGAGGGATTTAATTTCCCATGCTTTGCTGGGTTATCTAGTGCCTAGTTATCTAGTGCATGTGTTATCTAAACATGCCCTTCCTTCCTTGCCCCCTCTTTCCCTCCCTCCCTTCCTTCCTTGCCATCCCTAGAATACTTCCTTACTGGTAATTCAATCAGCATATCCTGTGAGATTTTAACTTTTCTTGGCTCTTGTTCATAGACCTAAAGTTTTGGTCTTTAAGTCTTTTAACTTCCAATTTCCTTCTTTAGTTAAATATTAATCAAAGATTAAATAATTTTAGATGTACAGAAGAGATACTAAGGTAGTACAGAGAGTTCCTATATTCTCTTTACCCAGTTCCACCAATGGCCTCTTTTTTTTTTCCTCTAGGATTTAATTCAAGACACTTCATTACTAAACTAAGTTTTCATGTTTCCTTAGTATCCTCTGATCTATAGCAAATTTCTCAGTCACTTTTGACTCTTTATATTAGGTTTTTTTTTGTTTTTTTGTTTTTTTTTTATTTGTTTTGTTTTTTGAGACAGGGTCTCACTATGTAGTTGAGACTGACCTGGAACTCACTATGTAGCCCAGGCTGGTCTCGAACTCACAGCAATCCTCCTGCCTCAGCCTCCCAAGAGCTGGGATAACAGTCATGTGCCACCACGCCCGGCTATTAGGTATTTTATGTATTGTCTCAATTTGGGTTTGTCTGATGTTTTCTCATGATTAGTTTGGGGTTGTGAATTTTTTGAGGAAAAAAATGCAGAGGTAAAGAACCCCTCTCATTGCATTATATCAAGGGAGTACCTCTGATTTATCACTGGCAATGATAACGATCCCTTGGCTAGATAGCATGTCAGCTTTCTCCACTGTGAAGTTTGTTTTCTCCTTCCTGTGCACTGTTCACTGTAGGTGATCACCAGGCATTGGGGATATACCTGTAGTCCAGCTTCTTGGGAGGTTGAGACAGGAAGATTGTTTGAACCCACAAGTTTGAGACCAGCCTGGACAACATAGTGAGACCCTTTCTTTAAAAATCAAACAAAAAAGATGGGTCAGGCTGGGGATTTAGCTCAGTGGCATTACGCCTGCCTTACAAATGCAAGGTCCTGAATTTGATCCTAGGTACCAGAAAAGAAAAAAAAACAAGTGAGCCGGGCATGGTGGCACACACCTGTGATCCCAGCACTCAGGAGGCTGAGGCAGGAGAATCACTGCAAATTCAAGGCTATCCTGAACTAAAACAACAACAGTGGACCAGAGATTTGGCTTGCCTTGTAAGCACAAGGGCCAAAGTTTGATCCCAAGTACCACAAAAATCAATCAATCAATCAATCAAACAAAAAAGATAACGTGATTATTAAATCCAGCCCACCTTCAAAGGAAGGAGAATTAAATTTCACTTACTAGATGGAAGAAGGTCAGAGAATTTGTGAACATATATTCACCACCACGGTAAGTAATAAATATTTGGGGAAGATTATTTTGATATATCCTGTTTTCCCTGTTTCACCCTCTGATTTTGCCATTTGTTCATGAATCTTGTTATTGTGTTGTTCTGAGGTCAGTTTTCTATTTCTCTCATTTCCTATATTAACAAGTTTATTCTCAAAGAAAGATATCTTACATCTTACAAATAGTAGCTTCACTTTAATTAAAATTTTTTTATTTTAAGAATTTTATTAGTACACGTTTGTAGTACATACTGTTTGCATTCATCATGGGGAGCTCCAGCGTACATAACACATCTTAATTCTCTTTCATCCCCTTTCCTTTTCTTCCCTCCCCTGCTCTCCATCTTTTTATTTATTCAATTATTATTTACATCAGTATGTCCTCTTTGTTATTTTATTTTGGGGTTATAATCCAGTGGTATTACAATTTACTTTACTACTCTAGTTTTTCCCACTTTGATCATCAAGAGCTCTTTCAAGTTAGGCCCCTCATTCTTTGAATTTACCTCTATTGTTTTTATTTTTGCTGTTTATTTAATTTTTAAATTTTTAATTGTGTGTGTGTGTGTGTGTGTGTGTGTGTGTGTGTGTGTGTGTGTGTATTGACAAGTATTGAACCAAGGCCTTTATACATGGTAGGGAGGTGCCCCCACCACTGAGCTGTACCCTCAGCCCTTTTTATTTTAAGTCACGAGTTTTGCCAAGTTGCCCAGACTGGCCTTCAAATTGAAATCCTCCCACCTCAGCCTCCAGAGTAGTTGTGAGTATAAACATGCACCACCATGCTCAGCTTAGTATTTCTTTTTATCTCTACAAAAATGAAATAGGTTTTCCACACCTAGCCATTTCTTTAGGAAGTTATGGTTCTTTTTGTTGAATTCTATTTAGAAACTAAAATCCAGGTGCAAGTGTGCTTATTGCTACTGGAATGTCGCTGCTTGTAGATCTTGAGAGACAACTAGGAGAATCATATGCATGCTAACCTGTATAAGCATACACATCTGTATTTCTACATAAAAGTTAAAATAAACATACTCTCAGAGTGGCATCTTCAATTCTAATCCTGCACCACACAATTCAGACTAGCATTCGCTCCTCACTTATTTGTAACTTCTTTCTGACTCTTATTATCTACAATGTATTTATTTATATGTTCATCCCCAGTGTGGGTACAAGTAGTCTCAGCATTAGTTTAATTTTTAATGTGTTTTCTGAGAAAAAGTGTACTATTTCCTGAAATAAGCATATTTTGATGCACCTTAGCCTTTTTGAAGGTCATTAACTTGTATCATCTGTTAACATTCTCCATTGATTTTAAAATGCCGAAAAAGGAAATCTGTGGCTAGGGACAGAGTTTTCCCCTAGTGTCCATTGGCAGTTTGGATATTACAGTGATAGTTACCTTGTTTTTTGCTTCTTGTGGATGAAGCTAAAACTAAAAATGTATACTTACAACAGCAGAATGAGGAAGCTATGTAGGTAATTTTCAAATAAATGGTCAATGTGGTAGGAGGAAGTGTTCAAAAATAGAAACATAGCTGGGTGTGGTGGTACTTTCCTGTAATCCCAGCACTTGGGAGGCTGACTGGAGGATTGTAGTGAGCTCAAGGCCAACCTGGATACAGGTGAGTTTGAAGTCAGCTAGACTATATAGCAAGATCCTGCCTCAAAAAAAAAGAGAGAAGAAAACAACATAAAGCAATATGTATGTACGTATGTGTATATATATATCTATATAGATAGATAGATATTTTTTTTTGGCAGTACTGGGGGTTGAACTCAGGACCTTATACTTGCAAGGCAGGTGGTGGCACCACTAAGCTAAATCCTTGGCCCCCATTATAAAACAATTTTTATTTTATCATTTCATTTTTATTTTAATTAGTATTTTTTATTTATTTATTTTTTTTTTTTGAGAAAAGAGTCTCACTATGTATTTCAGGCTCACCTTGAACTCACTATGTATCTTAGGGTTGCCTTGAACTAAGTGATCCTCCTGCCTCAGCCTCCAGAGTGCTGCGATTATAGGCGTGTGCCATCATGCCCAGCAGTATTTCTGAATTTCATTGCTGATATATGAACTGGAACTTTGTTGGGTCTAATATAGTGGGTCGTAGGCTTTTTATTTATTTTTAATAAATATTCATGACTTAGATTTTTTGGGGATGTACCAGGGATTGAACTCGAGTCCTTGTGCTTGTGAGGCAGGCAGTAGAACCACTGAGCTAAATCCCCAGACCCTATGACTTAGATTTTAAATCACAGTTATAGATAAAACTTTAAGGCCCAAACAGGTAACAGTGAAGCTATTACTGCTGGGAAGAGTGCAGGCCACACATGGTGTTTATACCTAGATAGAGAAGAGGAACAGACGAGAGACTGCACAAGAAAAATGATGCGGTTGCCCCTGTGGCACCATCAGACCCCTCGCATGCATGCTGCAGAGTCCATGGGAAACTGCAGTCCTCGTGACATAGGGTGGTCCAGGTCTCACTGAGTGAGCCTCTCCTGTGTCTAACATGACGCCAAGCTACAAAAGGGCATCCGTCAACAAATGCGCACTGCATCTGCCTGGCAAGCGCAAGGTGTCCTGAGTTTGATTTCCAGTACTGGAATAAATAAATAAATGCAGAACAGTGTTAGAACAGCCAATAGAAAATACAGACACTCTTGCTTCTTCAGACAAAGAACAGCAGACAAATAATTTCACCTCTCAGAGGCTTAGTCTGAAAACTGCCTATTCGCCAGGCATGGTGGTACACATTTGTCATCCCAGCACTCAAGAGGCTGAGGCAGGAGAATCACTGTGAGTTCAAGGCCAGCCTGGGTTACATAGTGAAACCATCTCAAAATAAAACAAAAACCTTATACTCTACATAGAGGACCCAAAAACCTCTGCTGAAAGACTTCTAGACTTAATTGACAAAATTCAGTAGAGTAGCTGGATACAAGGTAAACACTCAAAAATCAATAGCCTGGGCTGGCAATTTAGCTCAGTGATGCTGCCGCCTGTCTCACAAGTGTAAGAACCCAAGTTCAATCCCTGGTACCAAAAGAAAAAAAAAAATCAATATCCTTCTTGTACACAAATAAGGAACTCACTGAGAGAGAAATTAGGGAAACAATTCCTTTCACATAGCATCCAAAAAAAAATGAAATGTTTGGGAATCAATCTAATGAAGTAAAAGACCTCTACACTTAAAACTACAGCACTCTGAAAAAAATTGAAGAGGATGTAAGAAAATGGAAAGACATCCCTTGCTCCTGCATAGGAGGAACCAATACAGTGAAAATGGCCATACTTCCAAAACTGCTTTAATGCAATCCCGATTGAAATCCCAGCAGTATATTTAACAGAACTAGAGAAAATCCAAAAATTCATTTGGAACCAGAATGGCAAAAGCCACTCTAGGTAACAGAGACATGATGGGGTATCACAATCCCCAACTTGAAACTATACTGTGAAGCTACTGTGATAAAAACAGCATGGTGCTGGCAAAAAAACAGACCTGAGGATCAGTGGAATAGATTAGAAGATGTAGAAACAGCTCCAGCTGTACTCAACTACCTCATCTTTGACAAAGGAGCCAACGATCCTCAGTGGAGAAAAGATAGCCTCTTCAATAAATTATGTTGGAAAAACTGGATTTCAACTTCCAAAGATTAAAACTAGACCCTTATCTTTCACCGTGCAATAAACTAAAATCAAAATGGATTAAAGATATAAATATGAAAACAAAAATACTAAAACTTGCTGGAAGATAGGTAGAACCCTCGACATTGACATAGGAAAAGACTTTATTAACAAACCCTCAGTAGCATGGGAATGAGCACAAAGAATCAACAATTGGGATCTCATAAAAAAGCTGCACTGCAAGAGAAACTAACAGCAGAGCTAAGAGACAACCTACAATGTGGGAAACTTTTACCAGCTGTTCCTCAAAGGTCTACTATCTAAACCAGGTGTTGTGGCTCACACCTGTTATCCCAGCACTCAGGAGGCTGAGGCAGGAGGATCGCTGTGAGTTCAACACCAGCCAGGGCTACATAGTGAGATCCAGATCAGTCTCAACTACATAGTGAGACCCTGTCTCAAAAAACAAGGGCCAGGGATTTAGCTCAGTGGTTCCACTGCCTGCCTTGTAAGCACAAGGACCCGAGTTCGATCCCCAGTACCAAAAACAAAACAAAAAAGGGTCTACTATCTAGAATATATAAAGAACTAAAAAACAAAACAAAAAAACACCCTCCCCCACATAAAGACCCAATTCAAAAATGGGTATCTGAAATGAATAGATGTTTCTCAGAAAAAGCAGAAAACAGTCCAATGGTCCATCAACTGGAGACTGGAGAAAGGTCTGGTTTTTCTACAGAATGGAGTACTACTGAGTCATAACAAGAAACTAGATTCATTTATACTGAATAGTTTCTCTGGTGTGAAAAACTAAAAGTGTAAATAAGGTTCAAATTGTATAATTGATATTGTGAAATGGAAGAAAAAGGCAAAAGGATTAAGGGGAGTGGAAAGGGTAGGGGAAAGAAAATGGCAAAGGAAAAAATGGAAACAAAATCTTTGTAAATAGGGAAGGGTGGAGAGGGTAAAGGGAGGGCAGGGTGCTGTCATCCACTGCTTGGTCTGCGGAGTTTGGTTTGGGAGCTCAGACTGGGAGGCTAAGGCGTGGAATCACCAGGCAGACTCCGGGGAGGTTTCTGGAATGCTTCCACTTTATTTAGGAAATGCACAGGCTTATATAGCTTACGTGTGGACAACCATGGGGAGGAGCATGGAAGGAGCATTTGATTACGTGGCATTTTCCTATAGGTTATGCAGATCCATACATTAGTGGAGAACATTGGGCGCTGTCTTATTGGCTAGACGTATGGTGGAGAGATTCTTCTTGGGAAAGGTGAGGGAGTCATGGACTAGGGGCGGAGGTGTAGCCTGTTAGACCCAGCATCTACACACTTCGGTCTTTGAGTTTGCTCAGAAGACAGGAGTGTGGCGCACCTGGCCCAGCCAGGCTTGAACTTCCCCCATAGCAGGGGAATGGGGAAAAAATAAGAACCAAGATACATCATGTTAAGGTACAAGATCCCAGTGATGAATGTAAGGGCGCTGTATACCTAAAAAGTACCAGTGAACTTAATGAAAAAGAAAACCTGGCCAGTTGGTACCAAACGAGACTCCCCATACTTCCAGCATCGTCTGGGCTGAAATCCAGGCGGGTTTCAGGGAGTTGGAAACCTTTCTTCTATGATCCCTGTTAAAATGTCAACTCCACCAGCGGTCCAAAGGCCTCCTTATCAGTCGTCCCATCCTTATCTTTCCTGGCGGTGTCTGTAATCTTGTCCTTTGCTTTCCCGCTGTTGAACTCTTCTGCTCTCATACAGCTTGCTCAGTGAACGCCGTCACAGGCTTCATCTGCCTTTGCGTATGAGCTCTGCTGCGGGCCGTGCTGACAGTGGTAGAGGCCGGCGGATGACTGGCTTGGGTTCAGCTGCACGGAGGGAAGCCAGATGAATCGGGGAGGACAGCCTGGCCAGTCCGGCTCTTCAGTCACAGAGCAGAACCAAATCCTGATCAATAAATACTTTAAATTTATCACTTATTTTTTGTTTTGTTTTTTGAGACAAGGTCTCACTCTTTGTTCAGGCTGGCCTTGAATTTGCAGCAGTCCTCCTCAGCCTCTTGAGTGTTAAGGTCACAGACGTGCACCACCGTGCCCTGCTGTCACTATTTTAAAAACTCCTATTTTTCTTGCCTTTCCATGGATGAGTGAAAACTTCATAGATGAGTGGGAACTGTTGTCTGGAGTCTTGTTTTAAACAGATTCTTAGGTATTGCTGTTTTCTTCATAATAAAACAGCTATTATAGTCTTCTTTTTTAAAATAAGTATCTTTAGATGCACGCCTATAATCCCAGCACTTGGGAGGCTGAGGCAGGAGGATTGCCATGTTCAAGCCCAGACTGAACTACAAAAAAAATTATTTTATCCCATTCCACCCCCCCCAAGCCCTTTCCCTCCGTATGTACAAGTTTTATTTCTATTTTTTTCCTTCTATTTACAAATATTTTTTTCTTAGTATAAGCTTTGAGTATTTGAGACATCCAATAGGTTTGTCACCTGTCGGATTCAGTACTCGGCTTTTTTGTTCTTTATAGTGACTGACCATGAGCTACACTGTGATGTTAAGGTTGATGTGATAAACAGCATTGAAATTATATCTCGGACCCGGGAACTCTATATAGATGATTCACCTCTGGAACTGATGGTGAGGGCATTGGATGCTGAAGGTAAAGAGCTTCACAGAATTTGAACAAAATGACTTACAATAAAGTAATACTCTTATCTTTAGCAGTTGCAGGGCCAGGGATTTAGCTCAGTGGCAAGGCACATGCCTTGTAAGCACGAGGTCCTGACTTCAATCCCCGGTACTGAAAAAGAAAAAACTAACAACAAACTAATAAGCATTTAGAAACAGAAGTTTTGGGGGGCTACTGGGGATCAAACTCAAGACTTCGTGCTTGTGAAGCAGGCAGCAGAACCACTGAGCTAAATCCCCGGCCCGGAAACAGGAATTTGAATACAAAAGATTGAAAATAATTTTTAATTTGGAGATGATATTGATAAGGAAATAATTCTGAGTAGAGTTCAATGTTTAGCTACATTCTTGCATAAATTTTATATTATTCGTTGTTATCATTGAGTTCATCTCAAATATCTGAATTCTGCAGCTGACCTTTTGTTGATAGTCCCTACATCAATAATGAACTTTTTTTTTCCAGTACCAGGATCAGACACAATAAACATTTTAAAGCAAAGCATGGTAGCACACAACTGTAATCCCAGCTACTTGGGATTTTATAGAAGTATGTGTTAGCCGGGTGTGGTGGCGCATGCTTGTAATCCCAGCACTCGGGAGGCTGAGGCAGGAGGATCACTGTGAGTTCGAGACCAGCCTGGGCTACATAGTGAGTTCCAGATCAGTCTCAACTACATAGTGAGACCCTGTCTCAAAAACCAAAA